AGCTGGCAGCAGCGATCACCAAGTGACAGCTCCTTGAATGGCAGGTGCAGCACCAAGGTCCAGCATTCAGAGCCTGGAGTGGAACAGAGGTGGATATTTCTAGAAGCTGGGAGAGGTTTCATTTCAGGGCCTCTCTTTGAGGGCCCCCTTCCAGGACCCTGTACTTAATTTTGTATTCATATTTTTTTCTTAAAAAGAAAGCTTCTGTCTCTGTGTTATCCAGATCTACTCCTGGGTGAGGGTGTCTGTGATCCTCCTGAGGTCATACAGCATGAAGCGTGACGGGGGGCTGTGTGCAGATGTGCACGGGGACCTCCACATTTCTCTGGGGAACGGTCTGTAGTCTTAGTTATGGTCTTCTAAACCCAAACTGAAGAAGCGTTGATTTAATTTCTAGAGGCGAGGTTTTAGGATTCGTGTAGATTAGTTCCCTGAACACATCATAGGCCACGGCGGTTACCAGGGACACGGAAAGGCATCTTTCTGACCGGTTGGATCTCATCTGGATTACACACCCCCCCATTCATTCATTCATTCATTCACTGATTCACTGCTAAACATTTACTAAGTCCCTGCTCTATACCTGTAGTTGTGCAGTTTCAAGAGGCCAGAGATGAGTTAGCCTCCCTGCGTTGGAAGAAGTCCCATTGTTGATGTCATTGTAGTGCATCCATATGAGTGCTGTCCTTGAGATAGAGGACTTTTATTTTTTTTTATTTAATTTCAGTTTCATTACTTTACTTTTAATTTTTTTAATGTTTAGTTTTTGAGACAGAGTGTGAGTGGTGGAGGGGCAGACAGAGGGGGAGACACAGAATCCGAAGCAGCCTCCAGGCTCCGAGCTGTCAGCACAGAGCCCGATGCGGGGCTCGAACCCACGAATTGTGAGATCATGACCCAGTTGAAGTCAGACACTCAACTGACTGAGCCACCCAGGCACCCCAAGACTACTTTTAGTCAAAAGAAAAGTTTGTCCACATGTTCTTAACCCTAGCACATCACACAGAAAGCCGGATGCACAAGAGGATGGTCTTCTGGGGTGCAGGCAGGTTTGGGTGCACCTCTGTGCTCTGGCCGCTGCCCCTGCTGCCTCGGGGGAGGAGAGCTCCATCTTTTGGGGTACACGTCCCTTGTTGAGGGACGGACCCCGTAGAGCATCAACCCAGGTACCTATGGGGTGCCAAAGTAAATAGCGATTCGACTGCCATTGGGTCGAGAGATTTATCCTTGTGGTTAACAGTTTCGGTGACTTTGCAATTAGCCTCCTACAGTCAAAGCAAGAATTGTTGCACATCCGTCACATGGAAGTATTAGGCAGTGGAGGCTGGATTGTAAAGGTGATTTTTTATTTCGCCATTCCTAGTCCTGGCACCTCTCACTAACTCATCTGAACACAGGTCCTGTTGGTTGTCCACCCAAAGTCCACCGTCCATCCTATCCGTGCCTCCTGCCAGCATCCTAACGAAGGTGTCCGTCACCTCCCACCTCAGCTTGTCACTAGACCCTCTCCTGTCGTTCTCTCCCCTCCCTTCCACAGACCCTGCCCATTCCTGCCTCTGTTCCTTTCCGGAACGTGCGGTTCCAGTGCCTCTGCTGGCCCAGCTGCAGCCCGCACTTCCCACGCAGAGGACGGAGGTGTCAGCAGGGGGTTCTTGGGGAGCTTGGGAGGAAAGAATAAGCAAAATAATGTGCGCTTCTGTGTATTTCTCCACGCGTTCTTCCACGGACGTGCCTTATGCTGTCCTGCCTCTGGGTCGCCCCCTCCTCCCCCTACTTTGTTCCTCCCACCCGTGCTCTTCTTCCCCACATCCTTCCCCTCCTCCCCTGTCCCCTCCCCCTCCCTCAAAATGTTGTTTCACGTTTCAGAAGGGGAGGCACTGATTCTAAAGCCTGTACACAAGGCGGAAATCTTATATAATAGAATTAAAATTACACTGTACAAAACCAGAGCCATCTTGAGAGCAGCCAGGTGCCTCCCCCCCACTCCTCTGCACCCCCAGGAAGAAGCATCAGGGAACAGAGACCACCTAAAAAGCAGTGTGGTGGTCACTCCTCCCTCTTCGTGCTCCTTTCAAGCAGGACTTTCCGACCTTGTCCATGCCTGGCGCACAGAGAAAGTGGTAGTGGCTACACTGCCCAGCGGAGTAACGGAGCCGCATGTGAAGGGCCCGTCCCTCTGGTCGCCGAGACCCCTTCAGACCCCTCTTCGAGTTTGGGGCAGCCCTCCTGCAGCAGGGCCCCGGCTGGAAATCTCCACCCTGAGGGATACGTTTGTGGAATCAAATGGCTTCCACAGTTTTTCCTCTGTCCTTCTTTTGCCGAGTGGATGTGGTCGCATCCCTAAAAGTTAACGTTTTTCCTATGATTCCACTCTACATAAAACTTATGCTTCATGAATTCTGCCTTGATTCTCCATAAACGCACACTCTGTCTCGTATATGTTGTGTATAATCTGGAAAATCATCAATTTGGTCTGACACTTCTAGGAAAGGAAATGTGATTTCCCCATACCTAACTTGAGGCCATCTGGCCCATGGTGCATGTCTGAATGTGTCTCTGTTGAAGGAGTAACTAAGTGATAGCTGCTTCTTACATCAAGCTAAAAAGCTTCTGCACAGCAAAGCAAACCATCAACAAAACAAAAAGGCAACCTACTGAATGGAGAAAATATTTACAAATCATCCCTATCTGATATGTGATAAGGGAATAATAACCAAGATATATAAAGAACTCCTACAAGTCACTAGCAAAAAAACCAATCTGATTACAAAATGGGCAGAGGATCTGAGTAGATATTTTTCCACAGAAGACATACAGATGGCCGACAGGTACATGAAAGGCACTTAAACATCACTAATCATCAGGGAAACGCAAATGAAAACCACAGTGACACCTCATACCTGTTAGAACGGTTGTTATATCAAAAAGACAAGAAATAACAAGCATTGGCGAGGATGTGAAGAAGAGGGCACTGTTGGTAGGAATGCAAACTGGTGCAGCCACTGTGGAAAACAGTCTGGAGGGTCCTCAAAAAATTAAAAACAGAACTGCCATATGATCCAGCAGCAGTTCCTCTTCTGTGTGTTTATCTGAAGAAAATGGAAACACTAACCCCCCTGTGTTCACTGTAGCCTTATTTATAGTAACCAAGGTGTGGAAACAGCCTATGTGTCCATCGGTGGATAAATGGATGAAGAAGATGTGGGATGATATATATATGTATGTAACAGAATATTAGCCATAAAAAGAGGGAAATGTTACCATTTGCAACAGCATGGATGAACCTTTAGGGCAATATGGTAAGTGAAATAAGTCAGACAAGGACAAATGCTGTATGGGCTAAGTTACATGTGGAATCTTTAAAAAAACAAAACAAGCTCGTAATTACAGAGAACAGATGGATTGGGGTGGGGATGGGCAAATGCCCGAAGGTGGTTAAAAGGCGCAAACCTCCATTTATAGTGTGAATGAGCCCTGGGGACATACTGTGCAGTGTGGTGACTGTAGTTAACCATACGGAGTTGTATATTTGAAAGTTGCTAAGAGAGTAAATCCTAAAAGTTGTCACAAGAATAAAATTGTAACTATGCGTGGTAGTCGATGTTAACTAGACTTCTTGTGGTAGCCATTTTGGAACATACAAAACACGATGAGGTTGTACACCTGAACGATAACAATGTAGTGTGTCGGTTGCATCTCAATAAAGACAAAAAAGCTCCTTGTATAGGGACTCATTATTTGATTGACATCACAGTAGGGCTTGTTTGCATCTTTTAAATCTTTTTTTCCCCCCTCTATGTTTCCGTCTTCCTAGGAATTCAGAAATAGGCTTGGGAATCACCCGAGTTCAGTATCCCACGCTTCTGCCGTCGGGCGACACTTCGCAAGCTCCAGGATGGCCCTCCGCTTGCAAAACCTCCGTCGAGACCGTGCACTGAGGGTGTCCGTGGGCCTGGCTCTGTTGGCTCTTCTTCTCGCCTTTTTTTGTCAAAATCTCTAATGAAAACACAACTAAATGAAACATTGGAGAAGAAGAATAAATTTCTGATTAAAATCTTCAATGAACAGAACAGCAATCACATCAGTACTCCAAGAGCCGTCATTTATCCTGGTCTCCCTGCCTCTGCTCCAGCCACACTTTTTAATGAGGCTGATTGTGTCTCTCGTGGAGTTGGGCCATTGGTTATTTGCCCTAAAACCTACTAACTGTTGCCATGGCATATCTTTTCAATTAAGCTCCTTTTGGTTTATTTGCGGCAAGAAATGCAAGGGGTTGCATTTTCTTTCAACCTCTTGTCTTCAAGTCAGAACCTAATTACACAGTCATCTTTTCCTTGTGTGGGAAGAATTTTGAATGTCATTAAACCTTCAAAAACGTATCTTTCTCTCTCTGCTTTGTTTGGAGTCCCGGTGCTACGAACATCTTATTTTTCACAGCAGATGTGTTCCTGAGAAGTTTATAGACAAACGTGCATTTGGAAGCAAGAATTCTTTTGGAAGGCACCAGGGAGAGTCGCCAGTTCCAGGGCTCTCGGCGACGTTTTTGACAAGCGCAAGGAATCCCCCCACGTCTTCAGCACCCGCAAACTTTCGAAAACGTATTTGTCTAAAACCAGCTGTGCCCCTTTTCTGACGTTTCTGATCGGTGACATCAAATATTTATTTCTACCTGACATCACTGGCCTTTACTAAATACAGTGA